TTCAGCCCTGAAGAATCTCTGCTCTTAGAGGTCTGTGAATTCACATCTGTTTCAAGAGGTCTCCAGGATTCCAACCATCCTATTGATCCAGACAGAGCCACTGTGTGTTGGGAGCAAATAAGTGGCTGATATTTCACAGGACCTTGGCTTTGCCTCCCCCTGCCCTGACTTAGCACTGCACTGTGCAGTTTGGATCAGCTGTGGATGTGGTGTGCAGTACACCTGGGTTACTCCTGGGTCTGTTACAGTGCTTCCAAACTCTTGTTTTCGAGACTTAAAAGAGAACACAACTGTGTGAACTTGCTGTAGCACTTTCCATGCCCATCATTTTCAAAGGAAGCTTGGGGTTGTTATGATGCAGAGCTGCAGGGATGGGGGGGCCCAGACTCCAGTGCTGCTGAGGTGGCCTCAAAGCCACCCAAGCTCGTCTGATCTCTTTGCAGAGCAACAACCACGCTGCGTTTGAAGTTTGAAGTGCGCAGAGAATTGAGTAAGCACATGATGCTGCTTCCAAAAGCAGGTTACATCCAGGCTCAGTCATCCTTCAGCGTGCAGCTCAGGTTCCTGCCCAGGTAACACAAACCTTTCAGCATTTCAGACAATGGAAAAGCTGAGCAGGGTGTTTATTCCTTCGTGCTGTAGCAGGCTGGACCTCACTGCTGGGGTCAGGGCAGGTCTAGTCTCCCTCCTCTCTCCCCCTGAAAGCTGCCAGATGCTCAAGGAGGAAATTAAGTTGGATCCCATACCTGTGAGGCAATGCTTTTCCTGTGGTGACAGCAGCAGTGTGAAACCTGAGCAGTTGCATTCCTGGTGGGCTGCTCCTGTTTCTGCAGGAAGCTATGCTCAGGCAGGAGAGAGGCTATCAGGGCAGGTGGCTGCTTCATGCATCACTGGCTAAATCATTTCTGGGCAAGAACTCCTGTGCTTGCTAATTAAGGTAAGAATGGTTGGGCTTCCTGTCCATTCCTCTCCCACCCATGAACATTTCTCTCCAAAAGATGAAGGTATTGATCTAGAATTTCACGTGATGTTTTATGTAACATCTCCCAATGCTAAAAGCTTTATCCCTTCTCTTCTCCATTTCATGATACATCTACATATACAAACATATCTGTTACAGGAAACAAAACATTTCAGGGTTTAAAAATTTAAATACGAGAGTTCCAATGTTAATTTTATTTACCTTGTCATGTCCATCCTGAAGGATTTAGTGGGACATTTCTTTTCAGGTAGAAATGTAATGATATATGGAATTGATTCTGGGGTGCAGACAAATACTTCAGCAGGTTTGGCCTCTGTTGTTGCTGCAAAGCTGCTGCTTTTTGTTGTGGGTTTCTCAGTCCCACTGATGTGTGTTTGGATTGTCACTGATGTGCTCAGCAGCTCTGGGTTCTGCACTGAGTCTAATCACTGATCTTGATACTTTCATCAGGTTAGTATTCAAAGAACTAAAAGTATTTACAGTTCTTCCAACATCTCAAATCCCATCAGATTACACCACCAATAGCATGATGACATATTTCAGCTCCCAAACTTCAGCTGCATAAAGCACTGTTACCCTCACTGAGTGGAGAGAGCAGAGCTCGGATTTAGAGCCTTAATCTTCCTCTGAAAAAGAGGGAAGCTTCAGCAAGGAGATTTGATGAGATTAAGGCATTTCTGACACACAGAATAAGTATGTGCTGTCTGAGGGGACAGATCAGTTCTCCAGCCCCAGCACAGGGAGGAAGTGATGTGTGGCACAGCACGATGAGCCGTGACTGAGGGGAAGGACTGAGCCAGTGACACATTTCCACAAGGGCCTCCTCAGTGATTTAGCATTATGAGCTCTATTAATAGAACAGCTGTAGGGAAAAAAAAAACACCCATTCAGCAATGCTATGTGAGCACAGAGCTGGCTGGAGGCCTGGGAGGTTCTCCTGAGCATTCTGTGCACACAGAGCTGCTCAGGCAGACGTTCCAATACTCAGCTTTCTGGGAGTTTGCAGCCAAGTTCTCCACTCTGCTGCCTTTCAGAATTCCCAAACATCACATCCTTTAGTCCTTCTGTCTTTGGAACTAGTCCTGCAGGTACTGACAGTCCAAATCTGATTTGCCTTTTGTGCTTCTCTTTAATCAAGCCATTTTCAGACAACCACCTGAAGGATTTCAGGACCTTTTCCCCAAGGCATAGCAGCTAATTTAGAGTCCATCCCTGTGTCTTACACATGTGTAGTACACTGACAATTATTTTTTCCCCTCTGGATCTTTTGTTATAAATTAACTTCTTCTGCTATTCCAATGTCCTGTGCCAAAGTGAAAGCTGAGGCTGTAATTCCTCTCTTGCATCTAACCCCAGTTCCTACCTGGAAAGGAGTTAACAATACCTTTGAACGTCACCTCTTACTGCAAAATAACAGCCAGCAAGATTTTGGATCACCATGGTGACTGAGTGGGTGTTATTTTTATTCATTACCTACTCTTTAACAATACATTAAAGAATTGCATGTAGTTCCATGAGTAGTAGTAGAACATCACCACTGTGGAGTCCCAAATACAGGAAGCAACTCACTCTGGTGCTGTGACTATAAATAGAGCAGCAGAGCTAAAAATGCTCAGGGTTTGTATTGTCTTGGCTTGAAGCTCTGAAGTGGAGCTCGTGAGAGCAAGTGCTTCACCTACAGAAAACCTGCATGTTCCTTATAAATCCCCAATGTGGTCTATAATCAGACACTGCTGGGCTCTGGGTTAGTTCCCTTGCTGTCTCTGTGCAACAAGTGGTTGTGCCTCAGCCTGGTGGTAGTGACTGCCAGGCCTGGGCTGGTGACATGCTGGGGCTGCAGCACTGTGCAGAGGGTTGATGTGCTGATGGCAGGGTAAGCTTCCCATTTTTCAGAATTTTAAATGGCTGGCATTTAAACAAGTGCTTGATGGCTGCTGACCTCTGTGACCTCCCTTAAAACCCTGTCTGCCCAAAGCCTGGCTGTAAAGACAGAAAATCCAACAGGACCAGCCAAGGTCAGTCACTGATGTCTCTGGCAGGACCCTGCACTCCTGCTGGGCAGTGCTGCTCAGTGGGAAACGTGGGACAAGGCCAGAATATTCCTGACCTGAGTGCATCTTTTTTATTCTTGGTCAGAAGGTGAGACTTCATAGGTCACTCGTTTTTGATTGGCATTTTCTTCCTCCATTCTTCTGCCATTTTCCCTAATATGTGCATGTAAGATTTTCATCAGACTTCAGAGAAGCTCTGGAGTTGATGCTTAACCAATTGCACAGGTGAATCCTCCTGTCTGAGCACAAATACCATGCTAAGGTTAAAAGTTGTGGCTAATAAAACTTTTAGACCTTAAGTGGCAGGTTCAGGATTTATTATTCCCCTTGGTGGGAAAATAGTCAGAGTGTGGTTATGACAGTGAATGTACCCCTGGATTTTTAGGCACTCTCTTCCTGAGGATGCTGGGAGCTATTTCAATGCAGAGACAAGCATCCTGGAGGTTCCAGTGACAATCCTGATTGTGGGCAAGGTCAGTGACGTTGGGAATGTTGGTTATCAGACTGACAGTGGGTATAGATTACTTTGGTGAATGGGCACTAATGGTATCTAGTCTTACATTGAATCTTTACTAATTGCACATCTGTGATAGTAGTAAATGTGCTTAAAGTGCTGATACAGATTTGATAGTTTCTTCTTGTCACATATTTGCAATACAGAGTTAAACCCTCCCTAGTCAGTGCTGATCTCACATGTCACTGTCAAGGAACAGAGCAGAGTAACTCTTGCAGTTATCCTTTTGGATGGCATTTCACTTAAATCCTTACAATCTACAGATGGAGGATTTTTTTCTTGTGCTCTTGCATTTATTTCAGGTTAAAACAGTTGATTTTACTGTCCATGCCATTGTTACAACTTCTGACTTGGAATTCAGTCCAGCACAGATCAACTTTGGGTACTGCACGATCTATGAGGCAGTGCAGGCAAATGTCATGCTGACAAACAAATCCATCTTGCCTCAGGAGTTTGGATTCGTGGGGCTGCCAGAGGTATGGAGCTATCCCACACACACCTCTTCTGCTCTCAAAATAGATTTCATTATCATGGGAGCATGTTTCCATAGGAGTGTAAATAAATCATGGCTGGTTCCTGCAAGCCCATGGGAATCCTCCTGCCTGTGGGAGCAGATCAGTTCTGTACTAGTGTGTGTGAACCTCCTCCTGTTACACCCTCAGTGGTCTCCAGGCAGTATGAACACCTGTGAGGAGGTTCTACTTCATCCTATTAGAACACCTAGTGTTTTAGACCAAGAAATCTCCTAACCTGCTGCACTTTCAGCCTCACAGGGTATTTATACTGCTAACTAAATCAGGCCTGGGGCTGTGGCTGAGGAATGTCACACAGTTGGCACCCAAAGGCTTTGTCTTTAAAGCAGAATGGCCATGTCCACACTGCTCCTTGGGAATCACCCCCTGAGCCACTCCTGGGAACTTTTTCTGGCTGTAAATTGGTGTGGAGGCAGAATCAATCCCAGGAGCTGCCAGTTGCATGTGGGCTAGGTCTGCTGAATTATTTTCTGCAAGAAGTTGGCTGTTGAAGCTACATAATAGCTACATAATAGGATGATCACAGTGTGATTTGGTTTGGCATATTGGCATCAGAGCTAGAGGAACCTGACATTTAATTAGGCATTCTCCCTTTCTCTGCTGTTTTAGGGATTAAAATCAAGGAGTTAGCTGAAAGAAATTGGTATCTTCAGCTTTGTAGAAGCTTTACTTCACAGCATGTGCTTCCTGATTAGCTTAGAGTGTGATGGGGAGACATTCTTGAGTCATCAACTCAAGCACAAACCACTGGACAGCTGCAGATGCTAAACTGTCCTGGCACTGTGGTACCTGCACCTCATGCAGCAATCACCTCTCATTAAACTGTCCTGGCACTGTGGTATCTGCACCTCATGCAGCAATCACCTCTCAAAGCACAGGGGGAACTGCTGAGGTTTTTTTGTCCTGTTTCATTCAGTTGTCTGTGAAGAGTAAATAAACAGCATCAGAGAAAGGTGATTGCCGTGGCTGGGAAGAAGGTGGGGAAGGGATTCTCCTGAAGTCTGAGTTAAGGGATTTAATGCCTTTCAGGTTACTCTGAGGTGAGAAACGTGCACGTCAGTCTCTCACTAACTCAGACAAAAGCTTCTCCCTAGAAGGTTTCTCTTTTCCTGACAGTTCCACACTTACTATCAGCATCTTCCTCTCTTGCCAGTAATGTCTTATTTTAATTTATGAATAAATTGAGACTTTAACTAATCATTTCTTGTCTTGCCATTTTGAAGTTTGTTGACATTCAGCCAAATGATGGATTTGGAGTTCTCCTTCCCCTGGAAAGCCTGACACTGGACATTATCTTCAAAGCTACCAGGGCTGAAGAGTATAGCTTTGAGCTCACCTGCATGACAGAGACCAACAGGTGTGTTCAGGAACTGAACCTGGAAGTCTGAGTCACACTGGGTTTGCACTGTTAAGCCAGTTCTGCAATCCCTTGAGGAGGGAAGGTTGGGATAAACCCCCAGGCAGGTGGGAATTCTCCAGTTGCTCAGTGCCTGTTGGTTTCATATCTGTCTTTACTGAGATGACTTTTCCTACCTCTCCTCAAGTTTATCCTTGTCCCATATCCCAGCTGGAACCCCTAGGACTCCTCAAGCTGCAATGCTCTGCTTGCTTTCCAGCAGGATTACTGAAGGAATCCTTTGCATAAAAATGCTTCCTGCATTAAGCTAATGCTGCTAAAGTAACGATGGCAGAAACTTTGATTTGACTGGATATATTTCCAGAAGTTCACAGAGGAAGAATTCAGGCAGGGACTCTGGCCAATTGTGCATTAAAAATAGATAGTATTATTGTTCATCTTTAGGCAAAATTCCCATTGCAAGCTTGAAATTCTGCTTAAATAGGGCCTACAGGATTAGCTCCCTATTTTCCGGCTGATTAAGAGACTATTTTATGCTGAGACAATTTATCATGTGTTTATTTTTAGACAATTCAAGCTGTCATGCAAAGCAGTTGGAGTCCACCCACCTCTTGAATTGTCTCATTCCTTGGTTCAGTTTGCTGCAACAGCTCTTGGTGCTGTGTCTGCAGCCACCCTGGATGTGCTCAACCCCCGTGGGAGTGGGAAGTGCCTCCCTCACATCGTGCCCCGGATCGGCAGCGCGGAGGGACCAGCTGCCTTCGAGTTCCACGTGCCACCAGAGTGTCCTGTGGCCATCTCACCTTCTGGGGGAACTCTGCTGCCTGGGCAGGTGAAGTCACTTTGAACCTCAAGGGTTCTGCCAAACCTCTGATCATCTACCTCCCTGTCGCTGGGAAACGAAGCTCAAAATGTCAGTTAGCATTGGGATAACTGGAATATATGGTTTGCAATCAGACATGAGGGTTAACCACCCAGTCTGGCTAATGCCCTGTGGGAGTGTTCACCCACAGTGTTCCTTCCCCAGGGCTGTCACTGTGATTTAGTTGAAGGATGTTTAAATATCAGAAATATTGGTCAGGTAAACCCACATGTAACATCCTGGACTTCCCCAAAAGCTGCAGGTGGCCTTATCCCAAGGATTCTCTGATCCACTCGGGGGGAAAAAAGGTGTATTTTGTGTTCATTTTGTGCTGTGGTGTGTGTGCTCCTGTGAGCTGTGTAACACATGTACAAGGGCTGATCTCCCCCCACCATTCCTGTGTGTGCTCTCCCATTCCCAGAAAAGCTCCATCCAAGTGTCCTTCAGCCCAACCCTGTCGGATCAGCTAATCAGGGAAGAGGCAGCTCGGAGGCTGTGTGAAGCAGCTGTGCCAGGGGCAGCAGTACAAGTAAGGAATGCTAAGAACAGCACATGCTGCTGGTCTGTCACTTCCATATATTTGTTTCTTTGGGTGGTATTTTTATCAGCAAATTATTTGCATATTAATGAAGCCCAAACTCGTGGTCCATGCCAGACCTGCTGTACAGGGTGAGTGGGGCTGTGGCTACACTGAATGTGTGACCTGTTCACTAAGCAATCATTTCATTTCCTGCCAACAATTTCCAAAGCATTCCTAGGGGATTTTATTGCCAATGCCAAGTGCAAGTACTCTGAAAAAGAAAAGCTTCTCTACTTCTTGCAGATTTACAGCATCCAGCCCTGGGGGTCAGTTAATTTATGTGAGCTCCTCTGGTTGGCTTAAGTTATGACATAAACAGGTAAAATTCCCAGGAGAGACAGATTTTTACTCATCTCCTCCAAGAGAAGAACTCTTCTTTTTTTTTTTTAAAAAAGGGGTAAAATATGGCCATTCCCACTTCATTTTGCACTATTGGGAATGTCTGTAATACCTCCCGTGTCCGTGGGCTGTCACCAGAGTCCTGCGGTGGCCACTTGCTCCTGTCACCTCTTTGGCTCTGTGGCCTCAGCCAGGGGCTGTGGATCTGTTCCCTGATGTCTTGGTTTGATTACCAGGGGTCATCCTCAGTGTCTGATGTCTCTATGTGTCTATTTGCAGGGAACGAAGGAAGACAAAAAGAAAGCAGGAAAGAAATCAGGCAGTTCCACTCCGAAATCGGGCAATTCCACTCCCAAACGGCTTGGAAGGGCTGGAAGCAGGAAATACCTGTGTGATGTAAATAGCTCTGAACAGCCCAAACCCGAAGACATAAAGCCTGAGTAAGTCAGCAAAAGCTTCTTGTACTATGTAGGAAACATTCCCTGTATAAGTAGTTCAATAAATCTACTAAACCTATAGGTAGACGAGAAAGCAAGTGGAGAAGGAGCAGCTCTAGCTGTGTTGCAGAGGCTGTTTCCAAAATTAGTGCTGCTTGTGAGCCACACAGCTGTACCCTCTCATGTGAGGCAAAGAATCCCTTTATGCATCAGAAGGATTGAAGACTTCAAAGAATGTGTCAGAAAGCAGGAGCTGGGGCTGTGCAGAGAGCCTGGCTGAGCCAACAGGGGTGTGTTTAAAGGGCAGCTGGAAAGGGCACCAGAAACTACGGCTCAGAAACCTTTTCTGGGTAGGTCTAGCAGAACCATCTGATGGCCCAAATCCATGGCATGGGGTGGTTTCTATTTTTAATTTGAGGGCTTACGGAGTCCATCACATTGGTCATGGTCATCTTCAGTGCTGTCAGGGAAAAGCTGCTGGAAATGTGCATCTAAAATAGCCCCTGGACAGTATGTGCACCTCGGGGAGAGGCTCCATTAGCAGCATGTGCTGCCTAGAACTTTGGATGCCTAGATGCAAAATCTGATACCTGAGGTCATTTGTTAGCAGATAATTCACCTTCTTAGAGCCACACTTCTGCCCAGCCTGAGGAATTTGGAGGTGTTTGGGTGTAAGCACATGAGTACCAGGCAATGAGCCGTACTGGCTGTCAGGGATCTTTGCCTAAAATCCACAGCAGATATTTATTTGGCTTTTTCCCTTGCTCTCTCACTTACTGAGGTGATTCTTACCCCTGGGTTCTCTAGTTCTGATGCTTACAGGGCAGCCCAGTCTTCCCTGATGAGGAGTTTCCCTGGGAGTTTTGAAAGATACATCATTCCATGCTTTGTTGCAAGTGGACACATGGATGGACAGAAGGACTCTGGAAACCTGAGTTACAGGTAGTTGCAACTGGAAGGTTCAGGAATGTGAGGGGGAAATGGTGGGACTGGTGATTTATTCATTTGGGGAGAAATCTGTTTTCAGTTCATAGCTCAGTGGTAGAAACTCATGTTTATAGCCTACTAGTTGGGTAAGACTCAAAGACAGGAATATCAAAGCAGCTGAAAGAATAATGGTGTGAAATCATTGAGCCAGATGTGGTTCATCTTTCAGCCCAGGCACAGGCAGAGCAGTCAGGTGGTGTTCTGTCATAGCAGTGGAATGACACCCTGAGAGACAAACAGATTTCTGGCAACAGCTTTTGTTTCTGTGTGCTCCAAGAGCTCTGTGCTTTTGCTCTAGGTGCCTTTATTCTCTCCCCAGCCCTTACCACACGTTGTACCTGGAGCTGCATTGTCCAGCTGTAGCCCCCTCTGTCCTGGTCACCTCAGACAATGGGAACAACACGGTGGATTTTGGTGATGTTGCTGTAGGTATGGAATTGGAATTGAGGTTTTGAGTGTTTTCTGACTGATGGTGTAAAGTTCTTCCAACCATAGTTTTGCATTTTCAAAAGTCAGGACAGCAATTAGCCCTGTAATGGGTCCTCAGGTGGGAAATGAGGAGCCTGTCTGGCCAGCTGAGGCATGTGGAGCCCTAACTTGACCCCTAACATGGAACTGGAAGCTCTGCAAGTGGCTGCCCAAATTTGAAAGTATTTTGATGAGCTCTGACTAGAGCCTTAGCCATAAACAGGGAATGAGTGTCTGCCCAGGTAGAAGCATGAGTGAGGAGGAGGAATGGGAGTGCAGGAGTGAGCATCATCACTTTGGGAAGTGTTTTCATTCCTGACAGGCCACAGGGTGCTGAAGAGAATCACAATAGAAAACATCTCCCCAGAGAAGCTGGAAGTATCCTTGTCTGGAACATGAGCGCTCACCTGCCATTCAGCCTCCTCTGCAGGAGGAACTGTTGGACACTAGAGCACCAGCTCATCTTTCTTCTTAGTTATTGACCTCTCAAAAGCTTATGGATGGTTAGTTCAGACCAAAGATGTATAAACAATATGTACAATCTGTTCTTATATCTTTTTTTCTCAATCTTCATGAACTTTTTTCCTTGAGTTGCACTATTTTAGCCGAGATTCTCAGTTCTGAATCCAAATGGTCCCTTCCTGTTGGCCAGAGCAGTTGGAATGCTTGAGCCAGGTGAAAGCAAACCCCTCATCATCTCTTTTTGTCCAGATAAGGATGACAGGGTGAGTAGAAGGTACAACAGCAGTGGGGAAAAGAGGAGAGAGACGTAACACACATTTTACTGACTGGGATGAGGCTCTACAACAATGAAAAAACCTTTGTTGCCTGTGTAGCCTCTCCCAACACTTGGATCTTGTCTGTTGTCACAGCCCATTTATGGGAGGGGATCAGCTGGAGGGCTGGGAGGGTTCTCTCAGCCTGTGAACTGACCCAGACCTCTCTTGGCAGTACTTTGAAACTTTGGACATCCAGGTGGCAAAGCCCAACCTCAGCCTCCACTTCACTGGGCATGGGGTGATCCCATCCACGGTGTGCTCTGTGGGAGAAGCACTTGACATGGGATATGTTGTGGTCAGGGAGAAGGTGACTGCCACAGTCAAGGTAAGTCCTTCTGTGCTGAACCAGAAAGCACATCAGGGATTTTTGTAGGGAAGAAGATGACATAAAGTGTCTCCTGTCAGATTTGGTCCTAGTATGTCAATAACCAAAGTCTGTTACTTGGTTCAAGGTGCCTAAAGAGAGCCTGGGCCCTGCTGGGGGGGGTGAGGGTTGGTGTGACACGT